AGGTGATCCTTTAATTTTTTGGACCAGTGTATATATATATATATATATATATATATCGGTTTATCATATGTATGTACATACATATAATCCTGTGTGCATGTGTCTGTGTGTGTGTACAGGATGATTTGTATAAAACCTTCAGTTTTCTTTAAATCTTTCAAACAATACGTTTTATTTTTATGTATTCTCAGTTCTATTTCAAACTAAGAAACGCACATAAGATACAAACTAGAACATAAAACAGAATAATATTTCCCATAACAAAAGAAATATATATGGGTCATTCTATAAGAAAACGCAAATGATTCTACCTACAAATGATTGGATACTTTTTAAACGTACGAGTACTCAAAATTTAATTTATTTTATGTAAAATCGAATGTCACATGGTGATTTTGGATAACTTTAAAATGGCGACCACGGCAGCGTCCTTATAATAGACTCGTCAAAAAGTTTTTGGAACAAACATTAATTATTGAAGCATAGAGAGCTAGAAAAAAATTTCTATTTCCATAAATTAAAGTTTTGGGAGTCGCTGATATGAATCCGCAGTCCTAATTATAAAATTTACAATGGCAAACCCAATATGCCGGCAATACATAGCCAATCTTCAAATAATAAAAATTCCATTATTATTTCCACATTACTGATATATTTCTATCTTAAAATTGCCATGTTATTTGCATTGAAGCCTCTTTTCCCCAATGTTTAAAAATTCATATCTTTCAGAAAAATAAAGATATCGACTTCTTTCTGGGCTCATAAGCTTAAAGATGAATTATGTGGCTATTAAAAAAAAAAATCGTGATTTTATTTAGAAATGGCCGAATCAATATGTCCGATCAAAACGTCATTTTTTTGAAAATTTATTTTTTTTCAAAACGTGTTAATATTTGTTTAATTAAAATGTAAATTGGTATAAATGTTATTGGAAGATAAATGGGGTTTCTATCTTAAAATTGCCATGTTACCTGCATTGAAGCCTCTTTTCCCCAATGTTTAAAATTTCATATCTTCCAGAAAAATTAAGATATCGACTTCTTTATGGGCTCATCTTAAAGATGAATTATGTGGCTATTTTTTAAAAAATCGTGATTTTATTTAAAAATGGCTGGTTAAAACGTTATTTTTTTGGAAAATTTATTTTTTTTCAAAACTTGTTAAAATTTGTTTAATTAAAATGTAAATTGGTATAAGTGTTATTGGAAGATATATGGGGTCGAATACGCAGCGCGCGCGAAGCGCGCACCAGTTAGGTACTAGTCTATATAAAAAAAGGGAGGAATAAATTTTAAAATAACAAAATCAATTAAAAAGTAAAGCAAATTTATAATTTTTATTATATGAAAAAAAAATAATTAACTTCGAAAATTGTTTAAAATTACAGCCCTGATTTTTAGTGGAATTGGAGCAAAAGCTGATAAAAATTATTATATTTCCAACAATCTGTTTATTAAACAACTGTCGTAATTTTTTAACAGGATTAGGAACGTTACCTTATAAAAGTAACTCATTACCGTTACCGTTACCAATTTTAAAAAGTAGCGCGTTACCGTTACCGTTGCTTGAATAGTACCGGTATAACGATTCGTAAAGTAATGATCCGTTACTTTATCGTTATTTTTTTGTAATACTGAAGTAAGTTTAATTATATACATTTTAAATTTGTATTATTTGATAATGATAATTATTAAATGTAATAATAAATATTTAAACTTGAAACTCTCTAAACTAGTTAATTCTATATAGAGCAAATTTTTCTTTATATTACTTATTTTTATAGAAAATAAGATTAAATCTATTGTCTCTAAAT